ATACTTTCTCGTTTGCCGTCAGCATTCAGCAAATACGCATTTACATCATTTAAACAAATCTTTGAATGGCTAATGAAAATTTTATTTCACAAACCTTGCAAACTTAGTCGAATCCAGTTGTGAGATCTTGTGAAGTGTGCATGTGACCTGCATGATCGCGTGTTCTCTGCGTGACTTTCGGTCCGTGCAAATCGAATGCTTTAAACATTAAATTCGTGATTTGAAATTATGCTGCTCTTTATGCATTTGCCCACTGTCATATTCATGTCATTTTCACTGTGCTGTATGTAAAATGAGTGTTGCCTTGGATTTATTTGAAAAATATGATTCCCAATGCACACAAACTTCCCAGAATACTGAGTGCTCTGTTGGTTAGTTTACTTCCTTTTTAATTTTATTTTTTATTAAATATTTATTTATTTGTGAAAAATACTTTATTAAAAATACTTAAGATATTGGCATCGGCATCGGCTGTAAAAATAAAATAAAAAAATAAAATAAAATATCGGTCGACCACTAATGTGAAGTCTTTTTTTGATGTTTTCATGTGAGATGCAATGGCATATCAGCAGCACAGAGATATTGAAGTATCTGGATTTTATCCAACTTTCACTGGCAACCTTTCATTGCTGTCCTGTTCTCTAGAAATGGAAGAACTATTTTATTTTAGTGTGAAAATAGCAATAACAACATAATGTATGGGAACAAACACAAACTTGTGAACTGCTCCATATTTTTTTTGACAGAACATTCTCCAACTGTCCTAGAGAAATGACTTTGTGTACGTGACCAGGAATACCCTGCACAACTAATCCTGCTTTTGGATTTTCATCTGCTTGTGTGTATTGCACATATTGTTTAATTTACTTCTATTCCTGGAAGAGTGTTGCACCTTCTGAGTAAGACGGATTATTTAGCTCACCCGCCTTCCACTCTTTAAACCAGCTCATCTTCATTTATATCCCTCCTCGTTAGATTCTCTTGTTTGGGCTCTCTTTGGAGTCGTGCCCAATAATAAAATTAAATAATAAAATGTTATGTAAAGGTTTGTGCTGTCATTTATATTTAGCTGTTTTCATGGACTTGTTGTACATTAAATGACCTGTGTGTGTTTCCACAGTAATGTAGAAGATGTGGTGCATTTTCCGGGTTTACCTCCCCGGAGACGGTTAACCTATCAGGTGAAGCAGCTGATTGCCAGGGAGACAGAACTGGAGAGGATGAGGAGGGTGGAGAAAGCCCAGCAGAAACGAAACCCACACAAGGTAAAATTCACACACACAGCCTGTGCACAAATATGCACACTTACATAATATATAAATATATTATAAATAATAAATTATATTTGAAAATATAATATATTATACAACAACTTATTTATTAATGTATTTATTGAGTTACTCCTAAAAAGTGAATTAAATCTGTTATATGAGGGGGTTTTTTTCTGAAAGTTTGATGCTTTGCTTGCAAGTATGTTTTTTTTTGTTTATTTTGTATGGTTGTATTTTTGTGTGTCATTAAAATATTTTTTTGTGTTTTTAAAATAATTTAAATGTTAACTAATACCCACTCATAGACACCGCACCATTTGTTTCACAACTCATTTGTAGTGTAAACATGAAATACTTTTACATGCACGTTGATCATTTTCAGTTGGACTGCAACATGATGACTTTGGAAATGTTTACTGTTTTGTTCAACTACTGTTGTACTAGTCTGATTTTTTGTGGAGTTGGACTAACAGACCTATATAATATAATTGTATCTTGACTTCATCTAGTATGGACACTAGACAGCAGTGAAAGACATGTATTTAAATCCTTTATGTATTGTCATGTATACTTACAACTATACAATGTACAGTGCCTATAGAAAGTCTTAATACCCCTTCATTTTTCTCACATTTTGTTATGTTGCATTATTATGCTTAATATTACTGCTTTAAATTACTTAACCACATAAATCTACACCCCACTCACCATAATAACAAAGCAAAATTTATCGGATTTATCACAACTTTGCAAATTTATTGAAGGGGTCATATGATGTTGCTAAAATGAACATTATTTTGTGTATTTGGTGTAATGAAATGTGTTTATGCGGTTTAAGGTTAAAAAAAACACATTATTTTCCACATACTGTACATTATTGTTTCTCCTCTATGCCCCGCCTTTCTGAAACGTGTCGATTTTTACAAAGCTCATCGGTCTGAAAAAAAGCTGTCTCTTCCAAATACTGTCTTTTTACGTGTTGCGTTGCATTGCGCTGCGTAAACATAAAACCATGTCTGCATTTGTGATCGGAGAAAGACGAGTCTTAACTTTTATTAAGAATATCTCTTTGGGTTTGAGACTTTAGTCTTTGCAACTTTAGGGATCTTATCTATTCACGAACAGCTTGTAACACTCCAAAGAGAAAGGAAAACTTGAAATCGCATCATATGACCCCTTTAAAAAGGAAACACTGAAAAAAGTCTTCATACCCTTTGCTTTGACACTTAAAATTTAGATCAGGAGCATTCCAGTTTCACTGGATCGTCTTTGAGATGTTTCTGTAATCCGACTGGAGTTAACCTGTGGCAAATTCAGTTGATTGGACCTGATTTGGGAAGGCACACACACCTGCTATATAAAGTTCAACAGCTGAAATGGATGTCAGAGCAAAAACTAAGCCATGAGGTCAAAGGAATGGCCTGCAGAGCTGAGAGACAGGATTGTGTTGAGACAGATCTGGTGGAGACTACAAAAAATTTCTGCTGTGTTGAAGGTTCACAGGAGCATTTGGCCTCCATAATCCTTAATGGATGAAGTTTGAAACAATCAGGACTCTTCCTAGATCTAGCCTCCTGGCCAAACTGAGCAATAGAAGGAGAAGGGTCTTAAAATACACCTAAATAACTCGGACTATGAAAAAAAAAAAAAGATTCTCTGGTCTGATGAACCTCAATTCCTTATTCACGTCAGAGGGAAACCAAGCACCGCTTATCACCTGCATAATACCATCCCAACGGTGAAGCATGGAGGCGGCAGCATCATGCAGTGGGGGTGTTTTTCAGCGGCAGGGACTGGGGAAGTGATCAGAGAAGACTGTATCTTCATACCCTTTGCTTTGACACTTAAAATTTAGATCAGGAGCATTCCAGTTTCACTGGATCGTCTTTGAGATGTTTCTGTAATCCGACTGGAGTTAACCTGTGGCAAATTCAGTTGATTGGACCTGATTTGGGAAGGCACACACACCTGCTATATAAAGTTCAACAGCTGAAATGGATGTCAGAGCAAAAACTAAGCCATGAGGTCAAAGGAATGGCCTGCAGAGCTGAGAGACAGGATTGTGTTGAGACAGATCTGGTGAAGACTACAAAAAATTTCTGCTGTGTTGAAGGTTCACAGGAGCATTTGGCCTCCATAATCCTTAATGGATGAAGTTTAAAACAATCAGGACTCTTCCTAGATCTAGCCTCCTGGCCAAACTGATCAATCGAAGGAGAAGGGTCTTGGTTAGAGAAATGACCAAGACACTGATAGTCACTCTGGTTGAGCTCCATGATCTTATATGGAGATGGGAGAAACTTACAGAAGGACAAACATCACTGCTGTCCTCGAGTGGCCCAGCCAGAGCTGGGACTTGGAACCAATCGGACATCTTTGGAGAACCCTATAAATGGCTGTCCACCGATGGTCCCCAGCCAACCTGACAGAGCTTGAGATGATCTAAAGAGAAGAATGGCAAAAACAAAAAACAAATGCAGATGTGCAAAGCAGATGTTGCATCATTCCCCAAAAGACATGAGGCTGTAACTGTCAAAGTGCTTCAACTAAGTTTTGAGTTAAGGGTTTGAAGACTTGTGCAATGTCATTTTTTCAGTGTTTCCTTTTTAATAAATTTGCAAAGTTGTGATAAATCCGGTTTTTGCTTTGTCATTATGGTGAGTGGGGTGTAGATTTATGTGGGGAAAAGTAGTTTAAAGCAGTTTAACAATAACGCAACATAAGAAAATGTGAAAAAAATGAACCTATGGCATCAAACATCTCAAACACATCTTCTGATTCATCCCTCACAGCACCGCAGAGGTCAAAGAACCCATCGCTCGTGTCTTCTCTTCCATAAAAGAGTCCACCCTGACTTTGTTCATGATTATTATGAAGACTTTCTATAGGCACTGTGTAATATGCAGAGCTGTAGACAATAGTGTTTCATAAACAGGATTGTGCAGATTGCAAAGTATTTGTTCTGTGTGTTCAGACAGAGGCAGTTAATAAGGTGCCAGAGGGGAAGAAAACAGAAGTGAAGAAACAGACAAGCAGGAACTATCAGCAGAGGCTGGAGAATATTGTTAAACAGACTGTGGTGGAAAGCAGGGTAAAGCATCTATATTAAACCACCTTAAATCCTTTACATCTGTCCTTAAACCTCCCATACTCATAAAAATCCCTTTTTAAAATGTATTTTCCTTAAGTGCAGTCCACCATTGAATGTTACCATAGCAAATTCAATACTGGAATCTGATTCACAACTTCATTCTGGCATTGTGTGAAACTGTTTTATGACTAATCAGTTTTATATTATTGCAGATAATATTTACAAATAATAAAAAAAGAAATACAAATTTGCAAATATTATATGCAATAAAAAACTGATTGCAAATGCGCCAAAAAAAGCAATAATATTTACAAATTGCAGTGCTAGTTATAGATTATTGATTGTAACCTAATTTCAAATGCCAAACCAGAGAATGTTTGTTTTTGCTTTGAAGTATTTAGTAAGTTCTCCCCTTTGTCAATTTTACAGTGATTCTGTGCCACCATGTTATCTGATTATTGTCATACTGGCTCTCTTTGCATATGCTTGATTTATGCTTCATAATAATCCAAGATTAATTGGGTTAATAGTGGATCAGGGTCGAAGTGCTCACACGTGATGACTTGTTTATTTATCCTTTCCATGTTTATAGCCTGAATTGGATTTCTTTGGTCGAGCCATTGTACCCAAGGAGAAACCTGTGGTCACCACTACAGGTGTGTTGTTGTTGTTTGTGTATATATATATATA